GCTATATAAGTGCATACTTATTATTATTATTATTCATGTCCTACCATGGCAACAGCCGAAAACATGATACTTTTTGAGCGGAGCGGATGCCAACCAGCCTACCGGCTTGTTTTATAAACTGGCTTGGTAATTCCCACCACCAATAGTAGACCATGTCACAGCATTTCAAGTACTTTTCCAAAAAATCCAAAATCACTCGATAATTTTGTTTACTTTACATTTGTACTATGATTACATTTTAAGTTTTGATAATTTTATGGATACATGTACACTCACAAAAATACACCCAAAATAAGGGAATTTAGTATATAGCCTTGACAAAAAAAAAAAGCATAATTTTCTTGTCTTAATATTGCATTATTTTTTCTATCTGTGTAACTTCATGCGGATATCCTGATGAGATTTAAAGTTCAGTTCACAACTAACGGTTTTGCAATATTAGAGGCTGTGAACTTGTCCATGGAGGCTGCAAATTATTAAATATTGTATTCACTGACATTTATTTTGTATTTACATTTGCAATGAGTTCCACAGTATCTTTTTCTTACTGGTGTGGCTACAGTGACTGTGTAGTGTTTTTGTTTTGTCGATTGTTGTCAGTTGTTTGTTTTGTGTTCTTGGAATTTTGTACAAAAATCAACAGCGGTTAGATAGGTACGTTATTGCCATTATGCAGTATATTGTAGACAGTACTTGTATACTTTGTTATCCAGCATAAATATCAGATTGTTCGGAAGCATGAAATTGTAATGTAAATTTCGTTCATTAATGTTTTCTCCGGGGCCTTCAGAGTCCAACTGGCATGTTGACTATGTCCGGCCCGTTTACTTACTTGTTGTCAGTGTCTGAGTGGTATATACAAAATACGACCAAGTGAACGTCAGAATATCAAAAAAAACAGAAACCTAAAAATCAGTTGCCCATGCCAAGAGAGCCGCAGAATCAAAACAATCTGTCAGCCGTCGCCGTCCACAGCAGCGATATGATTTTACACATCAAAATTGAGAATCGCAGGTGTAGACAATATGCATAGAAATGAACACTAAATACATCTATCCCGGCCAGCAATCGAATCATCAATCTTCATGAGTGACGTAACTGGCATTTCCATCTATTTGCTTCTATTCCCACTATCCTAAAACGCTCAAGTGAATGTTGTCAAATTCGCGAGTGTGCGTATTTTCGTACAGTGGCATAAACATTGCTACAATCAAAGACGCGCTGAACAGAAAGTCAATTCTGGGCTAGTACCATTGTCAAATTCTGGGGAGTACAGGACTATTTATATGGGAGACGTTACAATAAGGAACTAATAAAATTGTTTGATTTGCATATCAAAATCCTTTATTGCAACAGAGTATGTTCTATATTTACCAAAAAACAAAGTTATTATGTTTCTAGACACACAACAGACTCGAAACAATAGAAACCGTCCGATCCCAGCGACCTGCGTTCTTGAAAATCGAGTCTTATCGCCCTTGCGTTTCCGAGCAAAAAAACGTTGAGGCCAAAAACGACCGATTTTCGCCCAATTTTCTATGAACCTTTCATAATTCAGCTAATTCAGTCCAGCGGTTAGATAGAGTATTTATTAGAGACGCCCAGAGAACCAACATTTGGGACGTGAATCGTTCTGGCGACGAAAATCTGCGAAAATAGC